GCTGGGAAACGGCTTGCCTGCCCGCAGAGAAGGCTCTGCGTGCCACCTGTGGCGCTCATGCTATAGGTTTGCCATCATGGACTTAGAACAGCAATGGCGAACCTTTTTTGGCTCACGTGCCATAAGGGAGAGAGCGCAGGGGAGTCGTGCGTGAGCCTGCCGCATCCATAATGCAATGCATGGAGCCCCCCCGTGCGCATGTGCGCATGAGAGGCGCTCCCCCCATTTTTTCCATGCTTTTTTCACCCTCCCCAGGCTCCAGAGGCTTTAGAGGAGCCTGGGGAGGGCAAAAACAGCCTCCCCCACGCCCCCGGAGGCTCTCCAGAGGCTTCAGGGATCTTCAGGAGGCTTCTCTGAAGCCTCCGGAGAGCTTAAACCGGCCCCCTGAGCAAACCGGAAGTCCGTTCCCAAACTTCCTGTTTGCCCATAGGGCCTGTTTTTTACACTCCGGAGGCTCCAGGAAAGCTCCTGAAGCCTCCGGAGAGCCTCGAGAGGTGGGGGAGGCTCTTTTCGCCCTCCCCAGGCTCCTATAAAGCCTCTGGAGCCTGGGGAGGGCGGAAAATGGCTTTAAAAAAGGGTGAACTCAGCTGGCCAGTGTGCGCATGAGTGCTGGCCAGCTGACCGGACAACACCTCGCGTGCCCTGACAAATGGCTCCGTGTGCCATCTGTGGCACGCGCACCATAGGTTCGCCATCATGGACTTCGAAAATCCCTTCCAACTCTGTTAATCTGTATCTGCTTCTCTGTTTGGAGAGTTCCCAGCACAAGGCAGGACACTGCCCCCCACCCCTCACCCCATTTGGATTTGGGTGGAGGGAGAGGGCAATTCAAGAAGCTCAGCTTCAGCAAAAGAAGATTAAAAATNTTAGATATGTTTTTCACCCTCCCCATGCTCCAGAGGCTATCTATGAGCCTGCAAATGGCAAAAAGGGGCCCAACATGCAAACCAGAAGTTCAGGAATGGACTTCCGTTGGTTGGTTTTTTGCCCTTTGGAGGCTTCAAGAGGCTTCACTGAAGCCTCCAGAGGGGAAAAAAAGCCTAAGGAGCAAACTAGATGTCCATTCTTGAACTTCCAGTTTGCGCATTGGGTGGTTTTTCAGCCTCCATCGGCTTCAGCCTCCAGAGGGCAAAAAATGGCCAAAAATTAAGGCCGAAAATTAGCTGGCCAGTGCGTGCATGCACACTGGAGCTGACAGGACAATGCCTTGCACACCTTCAGAAATGGTTCCACGTGCCACCTGTGGCACTCATGCCATAGGTTTGCCATCATGGGTCTATACAGTCAAATATTTTCTCAATGCTTTGAAAAAGCTCCATTCCTTTTAAGTTACCCTCACTTCCATCTTGTATTGCGCCTGTATTTAGCTGTTCTCTTTTTTAGCTCACTGTCCAGAGTTCATTAATTCAAACAGCAAATCGTCCAAATCACAGTTTTAAATGTCTCATCAATAGTCAGTCCAATCAATTTCAATTCACCAGGAGATTATCCACCCTCTTCCATTTACTATATATGTTTCTGCATTCCTTACTCCTGGGGAAAATAAGAGCTGAATGCAAATGCAGCAATGTTTCTGCCTGCTGTGGTCATACACACCACCTAATGAGCTCCCCTTTCCATCTTTCCCCAAATTATGAGCTATTTCTTCAGTCTGTGCAAACCTCTCGTTGACTCCCTTGTGCCCACACCAATCCCACCAAACCACTACCGGCTCACCCAGACCGGTCCGAAGTAGTAGGAACCCACCTACTGACCTGTCCCATATGGTTTGACAGACTTGGCATGCTTGGGCCCCAACAACTAAGCAATGCTAGCTGTTGGGATTCAGATAGAGGGCCAGAGGTCAGGCTAGATGACCTACATATCCCTTCCAACTTATCCATATTATGATACTAAGAAGTTGGCCAAACTCTTCTGTCTCAGTCATTAAAATCTGAAGTCATATCTGAGACTTTCTAAGCACCATAGAGTTGTGTAGAGTTTAGAGTGATGCTTTTTCTCCTTCGCATTATCAAAATCATAGTTGTTTGCTCATTCCCTTGTGCCAGACCTCAAGCAACAGTCCCCAAAGAAAGTTATGGATGTAAACATCAGCCTAAAAAAAAAGCTCAATATTAGATGAGAAATGCCTGAAGAACCACAATGTGTGTTGAAGAGCAAGCATGTTCTGTGCTAATGAATCCCCCCCTACCCTTTGCACATGATGCATTCACAGAACCCCATTTGACTTTAGAAAATGGGGAAAGTCTCCAATCCTTGAAAACAATGTGTTGGTTTCTGCTACCATTGGGGAGAAAATAGGGAAACGTTTCAAGGCAGGGGATTTATTCAGGCAGACAAATGGTCCTTCTGCTTCTCCTTCTCATGCTGCTTCCTCACACAGCCAGTGGGAAGCTCACTTGGAAATGCCATCTGAATCTGAAGAGGAATGAAGTCAACCCACTGAATTATTATAAGGGAGGAGATCTTCTTCTGGGTGGGATCATCGGTGTAACGAATGCAGTATTCCGCCCTTACGACTTCAGCAGGACCCCCTCTATAAAGGTCTCTGGGTAGGTCACCTTAGGTACAAGGAAACTTGTTTTTCTGCAGGTCTTTGCTAATTTCCAGGCTTTCAGACAACTCCAGGTATCACTGCACTGTTTCATTGTCATCCATCACCCACTGCTGTCTTAAAATGAGAGAATCAGAGAATAACAACACTGGAAGCTACATTTTGCATCCATTTTCAGATTGCTTCATAGATCAGGATTCCCCAGTTGGTTTCTCTTGCGGGATAAGAGTTTAGGGTGCACCAGTGCCAAGGCATCAGCCCTACACAGCCCCCTACTTTTAGAGATCTCTTTCCAAAGGTGACAGAGTCCCCTCTCCCTTTAGTCACCTGGCGAACTGACACCCACTTTCTTTTACCTTATCTGAACAGAGAGATCTTAACTGAGGTAGCAGAGTAGATTCTCTCCACCCCCATACACACAAGCCCATAATTGATTGTTAAATAGGAAGCATTGTCAATGTGGACCCTAAATTCTGTGGGGGAGATTTCACATGATCTCCTTTTCTTCTGGACTAGCGATGATGGAAACTTGGGATAGCTGCTTTCCTGTGTCTGACAGCCAGCCTTGGAGAACTAAGAGCAATTGTTAGATATTTCAAAGGAGAAGGAGATGCAACCACTAGGACAGCTTTGGAAGCACTGGATCTATTTCACAGCTCAAAAGGTGGTCACCTCCCTCCCTGGTAGCAGTTCAGCAAAGTCTAGATTAGCACCTGTCAAGGAAACTCTTTTGTTCACCCTATGCTGTAAATATGACATTGAACCATTAGATGTCGTCCACCATCCTTTCTGGAAAGGAAGGGACCTGAGAGGTCATGTATGATTTTCTGTACCAAGACTTGCACAGAAAAAAGATGCCTGTCACACTTTTGTGATAAGGAAGCTTTTTGAGAGGGAGGGAGAGAGAGAGAGAGAGAGAGAGAGAGAGAGAGAGAGAGAGAGAGAGAGAGATGCTTTTGACAGCATCTCAAGACAGAGATTGAAAATTTAGTCAACAGGTTGGACTTGGGTCGAAACCAGACTTCCAGGGAACAAGCAAACAATGTAAGGGGTAATGGAGTGGAGAGACGAGATTTGCCTAGGTGGAATTCAGGTTTAGAAGTATGGAGCAGCAAGCTAAACACAAGAATGCTGAGGCTTGAGAAATTGTTCTCAGTGTTTTTGCCCGGAGAGGAGGCCAAAAATGAACCAGCTGCAACTCCATCCCAATGCACAATTGAGGTGTGTTACACACTCTTGGCATCACGTCCTCTAGGACTATCATCCCTGGATGTCCCTGGCTCAACTTTTTTCTCATCCTCTCCATCAGAGAACATAAGCAGTTTCTTTGTATCCCTACAGGATAATTCAAAGACATTCTTCACCTGACCGTCCCGACGTTGTTACACTGCACCTTTTCTGATTTTGAAGAACTATATTACAGTGGTTCCCCCCCCCCCTGCTTTATAATACATTTCCTTTCTAAATGCTATCTAATGCATTTTATTTCATGGTTGTTTTCACTATTCTTTGTATCTTCATGGTTTTTATTCAGAAAGCTTTTCACACAAGTTTTGGGGAAATGATAGTTGTGTTGATGTTAAACCGTGGGGCTGATTATTTACTACTGTATATGCAGACATGAAATTTGATATGCTGGCTGGTGAGATTTGCAAGATGTAGATTGTCAGGTTTCTGAAAGATGCCCTAATTAACTTACAAGCCTCAAGCCAAGTTTCAAAAGAAATCCAGTCGTTTATTAGGAACAACTTCTCGACAATACCCGAATGGAGTCAGATCTAACCTCAGTGAAATTATGGCTGAACTTTACCCCTGTTTCTCCCCTCCCCTCAACCTGTGTCATAAATCACATTCGCCAACGAGGTGCTGCAGCAGGTTCCAAAATTTCATGCCTCACAAACCTGCAGTAGTAATATGAGATGCGACTCTAGCCAACGGTATGCATGGCGTGTGTCCTCCCCCTTTCCTTCAATATCAACTTGATTAAAAGACATAGAAATACTTTACAAGTTGACACAGACAAACCCTACATCATCACAGATGTATAAACATGAGCTCTCATTCATTCATTCATTCATTCATTCGTTGCAATTACAAAAAAAAAAACAAAACCTTACAACAACATATACAAGAGAAGCATATAGATTAAATGTACATAGGAGCAAGATACCACTTAGCAATACAGCCAGGTAGTGGCTACTAAGGTTGGGGCCATTCTGATCTCTGAAGAGAGGATATTCCATAGAGCAGGGGTCACTGCAGAAAAATATTTAATGATTAATCATTAATGCTGGTGTAAAATGTATATATTTGCAGAAAAGCACCCCTGTTTCGCTGGAAAATTCTCTCCTTCCTGTTTACCTTCTGGGAGATCAATGAGGATCTCCAGCTCTTACCCAACATCTCCCTGGGCTACAACCTCCATGACAACCATTTCAACCCAATCATGACTTCAGATGCCTTGCTAGATTTGCTATCCACCGGAGGGGCAAATATTCCAAACTACAGATGTGGAAATCATAACAGACCCTTAGTAGTTTTGGATGGGTCCAGTGCTGATATCTCCATCCAGATACCAAATATGTTGGGCATTTATAAAATTCCACAGGTTTGTATGTCTCTCTCAGTGTGTGTGTGTGTGTGTGTGTGTGTGTGTGTGTGTGTGTGTGTGTGTGTGTGTGGAGGTCAGCTTTTAATCCTGGAAATATGAAGCTTATTGCAATCAGAGTGACACTCTGGAACCATACAGAGAGCAATGGCCAGACCTAAAATACTCTTCTATTTATGTCTCTCCTATTTAGACAGATATACAGATTAACAGAGTTGGAAGGTACCTTACAGGACCTCGAGTCCAACCCCAATCAGTTTCCATCCATTATTCCTTATCTGGTTTTTGGGTGCTTTGGAAAATAGCTTGACTCCCTCCTCTCTGTAGCATCCCCTCAAACATTGGAAGACTACTATCATGTCTCCTCTGGTCCTTCTCTTCACTAGACTAGACACGCCAAGTACTTGCAACCATTCATCATATGTTTTAGCCTCCAGTCCCCTAATCATCTGTGTTGCTCTTTTCTTCACTTTTTCTATAGTCTCAACATCTTTTTATAGTGTGGTAAGCAAAACTGGATGCAGTATTCTAGGTGTGGACTTACTAAGGCTTTACAGAGTTGTATTAGTACCTCACTTGATCTTGATTGAATCCCTCTGTTAATGCAACAAAGGATTGCATTGGCTTTTTTGGCTGCTGCCGCACACTGCTGGCTCATATTTAAGTGATCAACTCCAAGATCCCTCTCATAGTTATTGCTAGTAAGCCTGGTTTCACCCAGCCTACATATGCATTTTTTGTTTTTCCTGCCTAAGTGTAAGACTTTACTTTTCTCTACATTGAATTTCATTTTGTTAGATAGGGCCCAGTGTTCAAAGTCTGTCAAGATCTATCTGGATCTTGAGCCTATCATCTAGAGTGTTGGCTATTCCTGCCAGCTTAGTATCATCCTCAAATTTGGTAAGTTCTCCTTCTATTCCATCATCTAAATCATTTATGAAGATATTGAAGAGTACTGGGCATTTGAGAATTTGTGGAAGTAACATCTCAAACTCAGGGTTGTGTGGGAAGAGGTGCAGCCTGTGAATAGACTATACAAACTATCTCCTGAAAATAATCTACTCAGAAATATCGAGGTGTCTTCCACTATTGTATAAGAAACATATTTTTTACCATAGATTTCAGCTATTATTTTGGCTTGAATTTGACTCAGCATAAACCTACACTTTTTCTTTTTTCTTCAGATCAGTTATACTTTTCTTTCACAGGCTCAGAGTGATAAATCTCTCTTCCCTTTTTTCTATCGAATGGTCCCCAAAGAAGGAGCTCAGTACCCCACAATTATCAAACTGCTCCACCATTTCAGGTGGACAATGGTTAATCTAGTTGCACCAGTCTCTGATGGAGGAGAGAGGTTCATGAGAAGCTTGACTCCTCTGCTTATCAGGAATGGCATTTGTGTGGTTTTATCGCAAAGCATTCCTGTGGCTGTCAATGAAGTACGTATTGATCCTTTCCAATTCTGCAAATGGACGCAAGTCAATGTCTTTGTTTATTTCTCAGCGATTGATACCTTCATAATGGGAATAATGATTGTGCAGAAGATATTTGAATTCTGCACAAAAGCCACAATTGGAAAAGTCTGGCTCACTTCAGCTATGTGGGATATTACTTCCGATTTACAGTATAATTCACAGGTTATTCCATTCATCTATGGCTATATTTCCTTCTTGATCCAGAATGGCAGAAATGCCAAACATAACGATTTTAGATCTATTTATTATTCTGCCATAGACTTTATGGACAAAGTGTTTCATTGCTCCTATTTCAAGCATGGCTTGTCTGTGAAAGGCTGGACAAGATGCCCAGAGGATAAGGATATAAAAGCTCTGCCCCAGGAGAAGACTGAAAGAATCCTGTCTCTGGACAGCTACATCATCCATCGCTCCATCTGGAATGTGGCCAGAGCCTTAAATGCTGCATATTCATCCAAATCCAAGAGGAAAGTGAATGATAATAAAGATCAGTTGGCTGCTCAGCAATTGCAGTCATGGCAGGTATTCCCTTTTGTCTGTGGTACCATTCTTTTCTATTTTTTAAAAAAATTGGAAGTTCATTATTTCATTGAGAGATTTCACTTTCCTGATTCTAGTTCTGGGCTAACTGCATGCATTTTCTCCTTTCTGGCTCTCTTTCCAGCTACCATTAATTTTCCTCTACTTTTATTTTTCAGATCTTCATTAAAATTTTAATAGAGAGTTAGCTTCTTCTGTCAATGCATTGGCTTAGTGGCTAAGATGCTGAGCTTGTCGATCAGAAAGGTCGGCAGTTCGGCGGTTCGAATCCCTAGCGCCAAGTAATGGAGTGAGCTCCCATTACTTGTCCCAGCTTTTTCCAACCTAGCAGTTCAAAAGCACGTAAGGGATGCAGATGCTCAGTGGCTAAAATGCTGAGCTTGTTGATCAGAAAGGTTGGCAATTTGGCGGTTTGAATCCCTAGTGCCAAGTAATGGAGTGAAATCCAGTTACTTGTCCCAGCAGTTCAAAAGCATTTTAAAAATGCAAGTAGAAAAAATAGGAACCACCTTTGGTGGGAAGGTAACAGCGTTCTGTGCACCTTCGATATTTAGTCATGCTGGCCACATGGCCACAGAGAGGTTTTCGGATAGCGCTGGCTCTTGGCTTTGAAACAGAGATGAGCACCGCTCCCTAGAGTTGGGAATGACTAGCACATATGTGTGAGGGGAACCTTTAAAATTGGATTACAAATTATTTCCCTTCATTGGTTCCTTCCTCCATCTTCAGAAGGAGAAAGTGGTCAAGAAGCAACTGAGGCATTTCCTGGAAGGATTGATGGTCCCACAAGTACTGACCTTCATGATTTGTCAGGACTGTTGTAGTCAATTTAAGATCTCAGATAGTAATTTTAAGTAACCTTAATAAAGGCATTGATTGGGTCAATTGCACCTGTACAGAAATCCCTTCTAATAATAAGCATTATTTTAAGTATCTATTTGGAACTTTACAAGTATTCCTGTCCTGTTTTCTGTGTTCTCCTCTCATCTTTGTTATTTCAGCTTCATCATTTCCTGCAAAACCTTTTCAAGCTATACAATAACTCATTGGATAGATTATATTTGGATCAGAGTGGAGAGTTGGCTGCTGATCTTGATATCATGAGTTCAATCCAGTTTCCCAACAAGTCAGTTTTCCGGACAAAATTTGGAAGCCTAGCAAGACAAGGATCAGGAGAAGCCATGTTTACTGTTGACCAGGATGCAATGGTGTCCCCCAAATGGCTCAACCAGGTGAAGCATATATTTATTCTCCAGTTCTTTAAAACTTCACAGGAAGGCCAAAACTGCTCTCTTGAAATTTGATTCTAATGGCATTATCTTTCAGGACTGATTCTGTTGCTCTGCTTCCACTTCTGACACTCCAGTGAATTAGGGAGGTGTCTGTCTGAACTACTTCCAAGAGTTCTTGCTCTGGACTTACAAATGTTTCAGACTCCTTTGCCTTGAGAACCATATTTCCATATGTACAATTCCTGCCAGGGGCCCTACAGATGGTCGTATAACTCATCTCTGTCCAGCAAAGTCTGGGTCAATTTAGACAGAGCCACCAGCTGGCTATCAGAAGTAACAAGAATACACCCACACATTTCATACACATTGTCCTTGATGTTCCTTCTATTTTCCTTTAGTCTCTTCCTAAATCCAAGTGTGTGGAGAGCTGCCATCCAGGATTCGTCAAGGTACCTCGGGAAGGGGAATTCCTTTGCTGCTACAATTGTGTTCCTTGTGGAGAAGGGACCATCTCCACTCAGGAAGGTAAGTAGCTCTGAAGGATAAGTACCACTAGTGGGAGTGGTCTCCATGGTTTCTCACAGTGTTCAGTGGGAGAGTCGGATTTCTCAGATGGGGGTCTTTCATTTTTGTCCTCCTTGCCTTAAGATCCAGAACTAGTTTCATAAAGTAAATTGCGAGAAATCATCTGGGAACAAGACAGCTCTCCATCCAGTCCTTCTTTTTCCTTTTATCACCTTTGCAGTATTACTAAAAGAGAACCTTTACATGAAAAAGGATATAACTTTGCACATTCAATGCTGATATTATTTCAGCAAGGTTTGTCCACAAATTCAAGAGGGGACATTTAGAGAAAGGTGTTAAAAACACAGCCACATGAAAAATAATATTTTAAAGTAGATAAGATTTTCAGGAAAAGGCAGCTTTGAATGAAATTGATTGTTCAGAAAATATATAAAGAAAAATCTATGGAATTGACCCATTTTACATGATGCAGAGATGATAGTGGTGGACAAGGTAGACAGAAGCAGAAAATGTCAACATTTCAGGAAGTGGATAAATCATTTTTATCTCATTTCTCTTATTTGCAGATGCAAAAGTGTGCATCAAATGTCCAGAGGATCAGCATCCAAATGAGAAACAAGATCAGTGCATCCCCAAGATCATAACCTTTTTATCATACAGAGGACCTCTGGGGATGATCCTGACTTCCTTTGTCCTCTTCTTGTCTTTAGTCACACTGCTTGTCTTAACTATCTTTATAAGACACTTGGAAACTCCACTAGTCAAGGCCAACAATCGAAACCTCTCGTATATCCTCCTCATCTCCTTGTTGTTTTCCTTCCTGACCTCCTTCCTTTTCATTGGCCAGCCAAGGAAAGCTGCTTGTTTTCTCCGTCAAACCATTTTCAGTATCGTTTTCTCAACTGCTGTCTCCTCAGTCTTGGCCAAGACAATCACAGTAGTGTTGGCCTTCCTGGCCACAAAACCAGGCAACACCATGAGGAGGTGGATGGGGAAGACTCTGGCCAACTCCCTTGTCCTTTCTTGTTCTGGGATCCAAGCTCTCATTTGTTCCATATGGTTAGTAGTCTCTCCCCCCTTCCCTGACTCTGACTTGCACTCTCTGCCTGGAGAAATCATCCTGCAATGCAATGAAGGGTCAGTTATCATGTTTTATGTAGCCCTGGGCTACATGGGTTTCCTGGCTGGCATCTGCTTTATTGTGGCTTTCCTTGCCAGGAATCTCCCTGGGACCTTCAACGAAGCCAAGCTGATCACTTTCAGCATGTTGGTCTTCTGCAGTGTTTGGGTGAGTTTTGTACCCACCTATTTGAGCACCAAGGGGAAATACATGGTGGCTGTGCAGGTCTTCTCCATCTTGGCATCTGGTGCAGGGCTACTGGGCTGCATCTTCATCCCAAAGTGCTATATAATTATTCTGAGGCCAGATCTCAACACAAAGGAGCAGCTTATATTAAAAGTCAAATAAGAATCCTGGGGATGCAATTTTGTTTGTAATTTAAGATGATAATTTAGTATTCTTCATGGCAAAACAATTTTATTTTGTATTTTACATTTTAAAAACTTAACCTCCATCTTTTTTCTCTACTATTCTGGGTTAATTTGAGTTATGGTGATAAAAACAAAATAGAAGCCTCTTCCAAATGATATTTTACAAACATAGGCCTCAAAATATATTATTCTGTAGATTTTGGTTTTTATTCCCAGGAATTATTCTTACTTTTCTTTAAATCTTTTCCTTCTACTTTATTTACAATTCAACAATCCTTTTCACCTTACAACTTCAGGACACATTCACTGAAAAACACAACAATGCATGATTATATCTGGGCAAACTAAATGTAAAACTAAATGAAATTAAACAAGGAAAATAAAATTAATAAAATGAATGTAGGTTATACTGTGTTTGATATTTCTTGTTGTATCTCATCTGGAGTTCACCAACATTGGTGTAGGCTGGAAACATTGTTAGTAAAGTGATCCATCAATGGAAATTTTCAAGAAGATGCTAGACGACCATTTGTCCAAATTGTATTGTGTCTCCTGCTTGAGCAGGGGGTTGGACTAGAAGACCTCTAAGGTCCCTTCCAGCTCTATCATTCTATGTTTTATTCCTTGCTGTCAAGAAATCATTGCCTCTCTGAGGATAAGAAATGATTGTGGGTTCCTCAGTTTATCTGATTTTGAGACACCAATTTCCATTTTTGGTCCAAGTGGAGAGGAAAAAGTGTAATTTAGGAACTAAAGTATTTAGCTTAATGATTTGTTTAAATATGTTTTCTGTTTGATTAAATACAAAAACTGCCTATTCTTTTTTTTTTTTGTATTAAATATATTTTATTCATTTTCACATTCCATTTTGCAATCACTTATATACAGGGTATTTGCTATAAAAAAATAAAAAAATAAAATAAAACAAAATAAAAAAGAAAACACAACTCATCATTCACAACCCCACCTGACACTTCCATCCTCTATACACCCCATGGGGTGTATAGAGAAAAACTGCCTATTCTTGTGTGATTTCTACCAGCCTTTCCATGGGGACATATTCAGTTTTGCATATCTATCAAAAACTATGAGCAAGATTTATTTTTTTCCCCAATTCTCAAAACTTGATTAGTATCTGAATTACAAGAATAGTTGATGTTCAGTCTTTGTTTGGAGTCTGTGAGTCTGACATTCCACCAAGTATTAAGTAAGGACTATCCTATGGATTTCTTTTGACTTGACATTGGATTCTGTCTTGACAATAATCTCCAATATATGTACATTTTAATGAACCATTGTGGACCAGACTATTTCTCTGTCTCAAAGACACCTGAAATGCTCTCTTATTCGATGGGATCCATTACAAGAGTGAAACCCATGAAACTCTATTGAAAACTTAAACATATTTTCAAAGTGGGGATCTTGAAGTTATTAAAAGCATGGACTAAGATACACCATGTTGCTAACAATGTTAAAATGGTGTCAAGAGATTGGGGATAAAAAGTAACCAAAAAACTGTGCAGAGTATTTGACTTTGCAATACATTTTTATTGTAATATTTTTATTGATTAAACTAAATGTCATTTATTAGTATACCAGTGATTATTAATAATATACATAATACTTTTCCCCACTTTACTATATTCTTTTTCTTATTTTAATTTCTGCATGTTTAACTTTGAACATTTTAAATGTTTTATTATATATTGCTTTATATCTATATATCTTTTTTCCCAATATAAATTAAAAAAAATAGTAGGTAAATAGTAATAGGGCGCTATGTAACAAAATCAAATTCAATGGTGAAAAAAATAAGGTTCTACATTTAGACAAGAAAAACAAAATGCACAGGTAGAGTACAGTTGGCACCTCACTCAATAGTAGTAACTGTGAGAGGGATCTTGGAGTCATAGTAGACAATCATTTAAATGTGCTGCAGCTGCCAAAAAAGCCAACACAATTCTAGACAACATTAAAAAAGGATACAATCAAGATCACGTGAAGTGTTAAGCAGCGGTGGGTTTCCAATTTTTTTACTACTGGTTCACACGCATGAATGTGCTTCTGCCATTGCGCAGAAGCGTCCGGGTGGGTGGGCAGAGCCTCAGGAATGATCCAGGAACAACCCACCTCTGGTATTAATGCCGCTTTATAATGCCTTGGTAAGGCCACACTTGGAATACTGCAACCAGTTTTGGTTGCCACAATGTAAAAAAAAAGATGTTGAGACTCTAGAAATAATGCAGAGAAAAGCAACAACGATTAGGGAACTGGAGGCTAAAACATATAAAGAATGGTTGCTGGAACTGTATATGTCTAGTCTTATGAAAAAGGACTAGGGGTGACATGATAGCAGTATTCCAATATCTCAGAGACTGCCACATAGAAGAGGGAGTCAAACTATTTTACAAAGCACCTGAGGGCAGGACAAGAAGCAATGGATGGGGGCTTCTGGGGGAGGATCCTGTCGCCGACGGGAGCTCAACGAAGCTCCTCTCAGAGTTCTGGTCTGTATATCTTATAAGATCTATAGATATCTCCTCTTTCTGGCAGAAAGGGGCAGGGAGAAGGTCAGTCGTT